CCCCAGACCTGGGATGTCTTTACAGGGCTCTCCAGAGCACAGTCCCCTTCTCTCTGCTCCATCGGGCTCCTGCTGCTCACCCAGGACAGTCTTTGTGTTATTCACTTCATGGCTGCGCCATCAAGGCACTCATACATGACAAGATGCATCACCCAGAGCAATGAACACTCTTCACGTGCACACACACACCTGCTGCAAATGCAAAGGATGATAAAAAGCAGTAGGAAATATCAATAGAGTGGGATAATAGGTTAGGGAGAAATGTTAGGGTGAGCTTGAGAAGCAGAACGCAGAAAGCTAAGAGGCCTTGAATGGAGCAAGAGCAATATAATTTCTGTGCTTGATTTCATTTCTGGGTATTTTAAAATAGCAACTTTTCGATGAAATAACTTTTAAGCACATTTCCAGACTGCAACGGGAGGCAGCTGCCAGAACTCCAAGACACGACAATAGGCTTAAACCTCCTCTTTTTTTGCTTCCCCCCAGTGAGATGTCAGCAAATCTCAACGTATGGGCAAGTCCAGAGTCACTGCCAAGGCCTCTCTAGCTCTCTGCATCCTTGCACACACACACACACACACACACACCTCCACAGACACCACGACGGACACGGCACTATCTACTACACCACTTTTTAGAGAGAAGCACACCTTTGTCCGTGTTTTGGCCAATCTGATTGTTACTGACCCTTATCTTCCAAAAACAGGAGTGACATACAGGGTGGGATGGAGGATGCCATGGACCACCCTGGTGGGATGGAGGATGCCATGGACCACCCTGGTGAGGGGCAGCTGGAGATACTCTGGGAGCAGTCACAGCACCCAGGGTGCCGGTCGGGGGGACACGGTTAATCAGCATTTTTTAAGGTGCTGAATTTCTATGTGCATTTCACTGAACTGCTCAGGGCTCAGCCACCTCAGAGGAAAGGAATAATAACGAGGCAACAGCCACAGACTGGGGTGCTTTATAGAGAAATGCACAATAATATGCAACGGAGCAAAAATACGCTCATTTTCACAGGTGAAGTCTTAGCTACTTCTGCTTATTCCCCTTTTTTTCCTGCTTTATGCAAAAAGAATATCTTAGGACACATTATTATTGAACGTAACACCAGAAGAGGAGTTTATACGAGGTTATAATGAGGGTAAGGCAGCCATAGGACATTTTAGAGCACTTAAGACTCAGTTATTTAAGCGCTCTGAAACAGGTGAGATATGGGCACCTCAACATCTTTGGGATCCGTGGCCCAGGGGATATTTCCAGATTTCAGATCTAACAAACACCCTCAGAGAAATCTGTCATTATTTCATTTGGGTTTTAAGCCTAACTGCCCCCTCAAAAAAAAAATAACGAAGGAAAATCATGGGCAGAATCCATGCTGAAGACATTATGCTGAAATGTTTCCTAAAAAAATGTTTTTGAAAGTAATTTAATAGAGTTTTCTTCCACTCAAAACCATAGGTTCCAAACCAATTGTGATTTGTCACTAAGAAACAGGATGTTGTGTAGTATTTTTACATATAACCTACAGAAGGGTCTGCTGCAGGTTCAGTTGAGTTGGTTTCATTAACGACCCTTAATGAACACACAATAACTGTGTCCATGAGCAGGGTGCTTTGCCATTTCCATCATTTTTTTGGGTAAACTGGGGAGGAGAACTTCTCCCCTCCCCATTAATAGGGGCGGGGAGGGTTGATGGAGCAGAAATTCCAAGCCCAGGACCTCCTGAGGAAGGTGAGAAGGGAGCGAGGAGGAGCTGCCGCAAACCCAGCAGCAGTATCAATATCTCATGAAAAGCTTCCCCGACGCCGAAATGAAAGGTAGAGCCTGAAAGGAAACACCTACCTGGAAAGAAACCCCGGGGAGCTTTCTGAGAGGGCACTTTCATCACCACCATTAGCCCTGGGGAGAGACAGCTGTGCTCTGTCGGCCTCATTAAATTTTTACCTGCCCAAAGGACAAACTCTACCTTCAGAAGCACATCGAGCCCCAGGGAGCGCGGTGTGACTCCGTCACTTACAGTCTGGAGTTACTTTTTCATTATGGTGTAAATAATAAATAAGAGCCACTGCTATTTATGAAGTATTTCCCCCTCGGTATCGCCCTCCTTAAGTCTCACAGCCCTGGAGCTCTCGTGGAACATAATGCAGTATATATTCTCCGAACACATCAACATCCCAGGTGGGGAAAACAGAGGGAAAACGGCAAGAAAAGAGCAGCTGAAGGTCAGCCAGGGGCTGGGCACAGCCAGGGGAGAATTTCTCAAGAATCAGCTCAATTGAGACAGGACAGAGAAAAAAAGAAATGAATGAAAAAAACGAGGAAACGAGAAAACAAAATGAATGAAACATGAAGTCCCCAGGAATCGAATAAAGGATGCCCTTGGCCATGAAAAATAAGCAGGGTCGGAGTGAGGACTTAGATGATGTCGGCATCATCCATCCCAGGATAATCGTGCCATTATTTTCTCTTTAACCAGCCTTGCAGCGAAGGGACAGGGCTCACTTAAATGATACTTAAATCACACTTAACTAATGCACTGTGCATCGTTTACCTTCAAGCCTCCTAAGTAAGTTATAATTTAACACCCTGAAGTTTTCAATGGCTCCTCAAGGAATGACTTTAACGGCACAAAGGAAGAATTGGACATTCACCACCTGCTGCAAGAAAGAGGAGGCTGTTACAAGCAGACGGTGCCGTAAAAATAGAGGCAACACCGAGGTGGAACATGGCTGCACGCTGGAGACAGAGCATCTTTTAACCCCTGGCCACGGTCCAGGATCCTTCTCCTCAAATTCAACCTGTCCATCTTTTCAAAGGTCTAGAAAGGGAGGTGGTAACTGGTATCCACAGGCACCACCACAAATAATGATTATGGATTTCACCTGCAACAGCTGTCTCCTCCTCTGAACAGAAAGGAGATGCCTCCCGTGGGGAGGACACAATGGAAAGTGGGGAGGATACAATGGAAAGCCCCATAGCACGTACTGGAAAGAACAGAATTTCTTAATCCCAGCTGAAAACAAACAGGAGTTACTCGCTGGGTGCCCCGTCCTGCCATGACTGAGGCATCCTCCAGGGATGTGAAGTGCCTGGTTGATTTAAGGGCCAAAAAAAAAAGAGAAAATTCATTCTGTTTTACCTCAAACCAGGACAGACATCGACAGATGTTATGCCTGAGGCTAATGGGAAATGAGCAAAGGGGCTTGAGGAGCAAGGGTTCAGGTAGAGCTCCTGGACACCACCTCTCCTGGGTCTGGCCCTCCACAGGGGCTCCTGCCCAGTTGGCTCGGTGTCTGCTCAAGGCTGGTGGGGATTTGCAGGCCAAAAGCAAAGCTGGGTGGTCACAGAATCAGAATGGTTTGGGTTGAAAGGGACCTTAAAGACCATCCCGTTTCAACCTCCCTGCCCTGGGACACCTGGTCCCTGCAGAATGGTTTGGGTTGAAAGGGACCTTAAAGACCATCCAGTTTCAACCTCCCTGCCCTGGGATACCTGGTCCCCTTGAACCCCTCCAGGGATGGGGCAACCACAAGTTGATGCCCTGGAGGACCCTTCCCCTCCCCACAGATAGCTCTGGAGGAGACTCTCCCATCTTTAGCATTCACCAGCCACCTCAACTTCCAAGCCCCCTCCAACCTGCCCTTGAACCCCTCCAGGGATGGGGAAACCACAAGTTGATGCCTTGGAGGACCCTTCCCCTCCTCACAGAGATGGAGGAGGCTCCCCCATCTTTAGCTTTCACCAGCCACCTCAATTGGCCACGCTGAGCTCCTTCCCCAGACCTGGGATGTCTTTACAGGGCTCTCCAGAGCACAGTCCCCTTCTCTCTGCTCCATCGGGCTCCTGCTGCTCACCCAGGACAGTCTTTGTGTTATTCACTTCATGGCTGCGCCATCAAGGCACTCATACATGACAAGATGCATCACCCAGAGCAATGAACACTCTTCACGTGCACACACACACCTGCTGCAAATGCAAAGGATGATAAAAAGCAGTAGGAAATATTAATAGAGTAGGATAATAGGTTAGGGAGAAATGTTAGGGTGAGCTTGAGAAGCAGAACGCAGAAAGCTAAGAGGCCTTGAATGGAGCAAGAGCAATATAATTTCTGTGCTTGATTTCATTTCTGGGTATTTTAAAATAGCAACTTTTCGATGAAATAACTTTTAAGCACATTTCCAGACTGCAACGGGAGGCAGCTGCCAGAACTCCAAGACACGACAATAGGCTTAAACCTCCTCTTTTTTTGCTTCCCCCCAGTGAGATGTCAGCAAATCTCAACGTATGGGCAAGTCCAGAGTCACTGCCAAGGCCTCTCTAGCTCTCTGCATCCTTGCACACACACACACACACACACACACCTCCACAGACACCACGACGGACACGGCACTATCTACTACACCACTTTTTAGAGAGAACAAGAGACATATTCACAACGTACACCACGAAACAATTTGAGGAAGAATAAAGCAAGATGGAAATCAGCTTTACCCACACTGGACAATGATTGTATGGCAATAAAATGCGAGCTAGATGTTACTACCACCTAATTTTTGGTTAGGAGTGCCACTGACACCGTCTGTTACAGAAATCGAGCACACCCAAAAGCTTCGTCTCTGCCCAAACGTTTCAGATGACCGGCCTTTTAGGTTCAGGCACGGTTGGAGGTGGGTTTTTTGTGTAAATCTCTCTTTCCTATCGCTGTTCCTCCAGCATCTCCTGCCCACCAGCCACGAGAGCATCTCTCTGCCTCCCCCGGACCCTGCCTGTCCCCTCCTCTCCCTCTCCGTCCAGTGAAGATAGGGTTAGAGCGACGTGCCACGGCCAAAGCAGCCTGCAGAGCCCACCACTGAGGTGACACCAGTAGGGCTCTGGCTAACGCTAATTGGGTTGGGGGTTAGATAAGCATCGTCAATGCAACGCAGTTAGTTGTCGGCGGGCAGGTTCGGTGGGTTGCTTTGAGAGGGAAGGCTATAGCCAGTTAGCCTCTGCATTACCATTATCGGGGTTGGAAAACATCCTACTTGCACTGGAGACGGTCTTTCCAATGTCGGCCAAGGAGCGCAGGTTGGACTTCTTGGTCTGGTGCCGGTGCTTCCTGAGCAGGGTGTAGGTGACTTTGTCCTTCAGCTCCGCTTTCAAGAGCCCCGTCTCGATCTGATTGTCCACGATCATTTCTGTGGCAGGAAAAGGCAGGGTGGGGGAGAGAGGAGAGGGCCATCAATCACACAGCGCAAGACTTGGCCGCATCAAGGGACACCAAGGGGAGAGAGACGGATCGTTTTCACCCCACCTTCTTGAAGGCTTTGCTTCCAACCTCAAAACCACCACCAGATTTCCCCGTTTTATTTTTAATGGGAACCTTGTTAGGTATTTCTTTGGAAAGGGACCATGAGCATTTCATAGAATCATAGAATCATCTGGGTCAGAAGGGACCTTCAAGGTCATCTAGTCCAACCTCCCCGCAGTCAGCAGGGACACTCCCAACTAGACCAGGTTGCCCAGGGCCTCGTCGAGCCTCACCTTGAATATCTCCAGGGATGGGGCCTCAACCACCTCCCTGGGCAACCTGTTCCAGGGCTCCACCACCCTCACAGTGAAGAACTCTGTCCTAATCTCCAATCTAAATCTGCTTTTCTCCAGTTTAAAGCCATTACCCCTTGTTCTATCATTGACAGCCTTTGTAAACAGGTTCTCCCCAGCCTTCCTGTAGGCTCCCTTCAGGTACTGGAAGGCCGCTATTAGGTCTCCCCGGAGCCTCCTCTTCTCCAGGCTGAACAACCCCAGCTCCCTCAGCCTGTCCTCATAGCAGAGGTGCTCCAACCCCCTGATCATCTTCATGGCCCTCCTCTGGACCCGCTCCAACAGGTCCATGTCCTTCTTATATTGAGGGCTCCAGACCTGCACACAATACTCCAGGTGAGGTCTCACCAGAGCAGAGCAAAGTGGCAGAATCACCTCTCTGGACCTGCTGGCAATAATTCTATTGATGCAGCCCAGGATGAGATTGGCCTTCTGGGCTGCAAGTGCCCACTGCCCCTTCCACCCAGCAAAGCCCATCAGCCACCAACACGTACCTCCTGCACCAAAACTCCCTTCTATTCATTTCACACACGCCCCTGAGCTTATCTGAAATCAGCTGGACCCAGGGTAAGATGGTTCAGCAAGACAACCTGCTCTCACCCTGTCTTTTTTGTGAACAAGCCACAAACGCTTCGCAACTCCCTGTAGGCTCCCAAAAATAACCCCCCAAAACTTCTATCAGCTCCTACAAGGCCCGAGTTCACCTCGCAGGCCCCCAATAAAACCTGATCTAATGACAGCGAGAAGTCCCGGGGATGAGCAACTAATTAAATCACTCGCTCTCAGAACTGAAGTGAAATGATGGCAACTACAAAAGGCAGAACTTGCTCCAATTGTCACGGCACGAATTAGGTGGCTCTGCCTTTAACGGCACCAGAAAGGCTCCCCGCCCGCTGCAAAGACCGCTCACTTTCCATCAATCCTCTCCTTTTACCCCATCCCAGCAGAGACAGGACAAAAAAAAAAAAAAAAAAAAGAGCTAGCCAGATTTATTAAAAATCTCTCTTGTGCATTAAATCTCACATTATAGTTGTTCCCTTGATTATTTCAGTTAACGTGCTGTCCCCCCGGGGGGAAGTGGCAGCTCTTATTTGTCTGCCGGTAACTTTTATTTGTGCTAATAATAAAAGTTATGGGACGGGGGAGGCAGAGCACGCATCTCACATTTGCTAACTCAGTGAGTCAGAAAGTCACCCTCTCTGTGCTGCCCGAGAATTAATGCCTCTGCAGTGAAATCACTCAGGAAAAACGCCTCATCCTTCCACCCAAACTCCAAAAAGGCTGATTATACACGTGTAGGTCCCGTTACACAAAACGTTTGGCAAAAGGTTTATTTTTGCCAAGTGCCATTTTTCTGTAAGCTTTTGCTGCTCATATTTTTTTATTAGTGATTTTTGGAATATTTAGAATCATAGAATCATCCAGGTTGGAAAAGACCCTTGGGATCATGGAGTCCAACCATCAACCCCACTCTACAAAGTTCTCCCCTACACCATATCCCCCAACACCACATCTAAATGACTCTTAAACACATTCAGGGATGGTGACTCAACCACCTCCCTGGGCAGCCTCTTCCAGTGTCTTCCTGCAGAACATGTCTGTCTTCATCAGGTTTATCCTTCTCCATCTGGCAAGTGTTTCTTCCCTTCCCTGTTTCTGACACAACACAAATCGATAAGGAGAGCTCGCTGGGTTTTTCCTGCGTGTTGCTCCCAGACACCAACCCAGGGATCAGAATTAAACAATTCTGGAAAACAAGTTTACAGACTGGTGGACACCCCCATCTATCTGATCAGGGATCCAGACCAGCAAAAATACCCCACTCAGGACAGTGTGACAGCAACAGCAGCCACTCATTTGTAACTTAATCTCCCAGGAATTAGATTTAATTTAGGTGGTGAAGAAGGATATTGAAGGTGACATCTCGAAGTGACTTCAAAAAGAAATTCAATGTTTGAAGGTTAAAGTTGTGGACCACTGACATCAGCTGCTGTCTTCTGAAGTACCTTTAGCTTCAGCATGAAACTTCAGAGGGTTTTGGTTGTTTTCTTACTTAAACTTTGCACAGCTCTGCATTTGGATACAGAGACACAGCAATAAAGGAGGGTAAGTGCCACCATAAGCACCTACAAAACTAAGCTCAAAGCTCTGAGATAACATCAGAGGCAGCTTTTGTAATTCCAAGTCTTACAAACCAGTGCAGCATCTGATATTTGACAATCTCATGCCAGGAGAATTCCGAGTCTGCTTCCTTACATTATCATTCAAAGCACTGAGTTTTGTGGGGGGCTTTATTTCATTCTGCTCTTTTCCACCTCTTGGCAGAATGGTTTCTAAACTCAGCGTTTTGGTTAAAGGCACCTCCACTGAATGGCTCACTTTTTAAAAATTTATTTTTGTATCTGTTCTCACACGTCCTGGGGAAGAGGGTATAGCTCTCAGCAATGTCACCGAGTGTCATCCCAGGCCATGGCTATTTTGACTGCAAAAAAACTGCCATCCTGTTGGGCAGAGTGAGGCATCAGCTGGTTCTGGGGCTGCTCTCCTTTGCTGGAGGAGAACATCCCATTCCTAAAAGGAGACCTCAACCCAAAGCAGCCAAGAGTCCGACCACGCTGGTCAAAACCTGTCTGTGGGTGGTGGGTACCTGTCCTCAGAGAGCTGCCCTTTTTGCCATTTTATACCCTGTGAACATAAAATAAATCAGTGTATGCTACTCCTTTCACACACACGTAGTGGTATCTTAGGATATAACTTAGTATATCTATTTTGGGATCCACATGATTCTATAGAATGACCAAAAAGCCGTTCTGGGTAAGCATTAACTACCACTGAAGTTGATTCTTTGACTCTTCTTCCTGAACTGGGAAGAACTCTCTTCATTTACCTGTCATCCTTCACCATGTACTTTAGAAAAATCATAGAATGGTTTGGGTTGGAAGGGACTTTTAAAGGTCATCTAGTCCAACTCCCCTGCAATGAGCAGGGACACCTCCCACTAGACCAGGTTGCTCAGAGCCACAAAAGTTTCTAGTTTCCCATGTAATTCCTTGGAGGGTAGGTGTCCCTGCCCATGGCAGAAGGGGTGGAACTCAGTGATCCTTAAGGTCCCTTAAGTTTCTGGTTTCCATGTCATTCCTTGGAGGACAGGTGTCCCTGCTCATTGCAGGGGGGTTGGAACACAATGATCCTTAAGGTCTCTTCCAACTCCAACCATTCTATGGTTCTATGAGTATTTTTTTATTTTCCTCTTGTACTGAAAAAACGGTGTTTTCTCATTAAAACCATTGGTGAAACCAGCATCAGGGTTAATCCAAATTTGTAGGGAAGAGCTGAGGGAAAGAGCTGAGGTGGCTTTACTTACCCACCACCTGCGGGAGAGAAGACGCCTCCATGTCCAGCATTATGGAGCCTTTCTCTATACACGTCCTCAGCTCAAACAAGCTGTGCAGGGACAAGGTGGCCACGTGAGGTTTGCTCCATCGCTCCCCACCTTGTTCTACCTTCTCCTCGAACTTGATCCACCTACGAGAGGGCAGAGCATTGAGGTGTTAAAGCCAAAGGGTTCCTTGCAGACAGACGTCTCCAAAAGAAGCGGGACAGCTGGACCGCCCCGGCATTCCGACAAGTTCAAACAGACGTGTTTTTCCAGGCATCCCCCAGGCCACAAACCCATGATCGAGTTGCAAAGGCTCTAATGAACTGGTATGTGTCAGCTGAGTGGCGATAATGCTCTGCCTGCTTGTGAACTACAGCAAAGGGGAGGTAAAACATGTTATCTTTCACTGCTTTCACCAAGACTTAAGCTAACACCCTCCAGATGATGTTTGCTCCAGGCCAAGAGGACATCTGGTCATTCCTCCCCCAAAACGCGTACCCCTACTCCCTAACCCGAACCTTTAGTGAGAAGGGCTGAGCACCACAGCTCCACAAGAAGAATAGAGGAGGGAAAAAGAACATTTTGGAAATCATAGAATCATAGAATCATAGAATGGTCCAGGCCGGAAGGTCATCTAGTCCGACCTCCCCGCAGTCAGCAGGGACACCCCCAACTAGACCAGGTTGCCCAGGGCCTCGTCGAGCCTCTCCTTGAATATCTCCAGGGAAGGGGCCTCAACCACCTCCCTGGGCAACCTGTTCCAGTGCTCCACCACCCTCACAGTGAAGAACCCTCTCCTAATCTCCAGTCTAAATCTGTTCCCCTCCAGCTTGAAGCCATTGCCCCTCGTCCTGTCACTGCAGGCCTTTCTAAACAGGTTCTCCCCAGCCTTCCTGTAGGCTCCCTTCAGGTACTGGAAGGCTGCTATTAGATCTCCCCGGAGCCTCCTCTTCTCCAGGCTGAACAACCCCAGCTCCCTGGGGTTTGTATTTGAGTGTTCAAATCCGGACAATAAAACCTGAAAACCCGCAGCAAATAATCCTACCCCAGAGCCACGGGGGCAAAGGAGAGGAGCACATCCCACCCAGATCTAAAGATGTTCTTAGCAGAACCAGTTGAGCCACCAAAGGGGAAAAACCCACAAATTAAGGGGCTCCTTCTTTCCCTCCGCTCTCTGGCCGTTGTTTAATGATTTAACAAAGTAGGTCTGGAAAAAAAAACAAGAAACCCAACCAGAAAGCTCATCTCTGGTTGAAGATTAGAGCAAAGGTTAAATCCTGCTCTGTGCAAAATACTCCTGACACCCCTAAACCCCAGGGGGTTTTGCTCCAGCCCCAGGCTTGACCCTGCCCTTGGCTCCGCTGCCCCCGGCCAGCCGTGGCAGGGAAAAGGGATTTAATGTCACCTCCCTGCAGAGCAGAGGGGCTTTTCCAATCTCCTCTCCAGATACTGCTTTAATACACGTGGAAAATGAAAATTCCAGCGACTAATCCACGGGGATTATTAAGACAAAAAAAGACCCAAAAAAAGGTAAAGGAAGCTCATAAAGTGGTTCAAAAGAGCATTATTAACACCAAGCGAAATTATATTTAATCCCGAGAAATGTATTACTCGAGGATTAATCAATTATGCTTTTCCATCGCAATAATCTCTTGTTGAAACTTTTTTTTTTTTTTCCTAAAGCCGCTTTTTAACTCAAGCTAAAAGAGTGAATTTGATCTCAAATTAATAAGGTGCTGCTGAGTTCCCAAAGCCCAGGTGTTTCCCGGGACACCGGGGGGACCTGCATTTCGAAGGCTTTTCTCACCACAAACCACCATATAAGTAGAATAAAACAAATATTAACTTGCAGGCTGGGTTGAGCCATCGCTTGCTGGATCACCCCAGTCCCTTGGATGACTCTTTTCCTCGGGCACGTTCCCGAGGGGACCTGGGGACAGCCAGGTCCCTTCCAAACACAGAATCACAGACTGATATGAGGTTGGAAGGGACCTCTGGAGATGTTCTCCAACAACACCCTGCCACAGCAGGGGCACCCAGAGCAGGTCCCACAGGAACGTGTCCAGGTGGGTTTGGAATGTCTCCAGAGAAGGAGACTCCACCACCTCTCTGGGAAGCCTCTGCCAGGGCTCAGCCACCCTCACACCAAACAAGTTCCTCCTCATGTTCAGATGGAACTTCCCCTGTTCCAGTTTGTACCCGTTCCCTCTTGTCCTGTCCCTGGGCACCACTGAGAAAAGCCTGGCCCCCTCCTCCTGACACCCACCCTTGAAGGATTTATAGGTGTTGATCAGATCCCCCCTCAGCCTTCTCTTCTCCAGACTCAAAAGACCCAAGTCCCTCAGCCTTTCCTCAGCAGAGAGATGCTCCAGTCCCTTGGTCATCTTTGTAGCCTCTGCTGTTCCCTCTCCAGCAGTTCCCTGTCCTTCTGGAACTGGGGAGCCCAGAACTGGTCCCAGTGCTCCAGATGGGGCCTCCCCAGGGCAGAGCAGAGGGGCAGGATGACCTCCCTCCACCTGCTGCTCACACTCTTCCTGATGCCCCCCAGGATGCCCTTGGCCTTCTTGGCCACCAGGGCCCATTGCTGGCTCCTGGGCATCCTGTTGTCCACCAGGACTCCCAGGTCTTTCTCCTCAGAGCTGCTCTCCAGCAGGTCAGCCCCAACCTGTCCTGGTGCAGGCGGTTATTTCTCCCCAGGTGCAGCACCCTACACTTGGCTGGAGCAACTTTAGACAGACTTTAGCAGCTTTATCTGTGCCTCCTCTGAAGCCCTGGAGAGACCATTTCATTCCTTTTCTCTGCAATCTCATGATGTTTCTACCATCTCCCTGCCTTGCAGAATGACGATCCCCCCACTGTGGTGGACACATCTTGGTCCCCAAATGTCCTGCACTGAGCCTCAAAACAGACCAGTGGCCTCCAGCTCCTTCAGGCCTTTTCCTGATTCGCTCCATATCCCATAACTACTGCTGAAATGCAAACATCGGCATGTTAGTGCAAGAACTTGTCCACCCACACCAGGTAAATCGATGACGAGCACCAACAAACTGATCAAGGAGCGCCCAGTGACCCAAATCTTTGGGTTACCTTTTAACAGCAATAAACCTTCCCTTTTACTGCTCTATTTCTAATGCACTTAGAGGACTTTGCTGTGAAACCCTCCGTACACCAAGAACATTTTCCAAACTGGCCCTTTATGGTGAACCACGGCCCAACATTGTGATGGGACCACGCAAGGGGATAGGACATCCTCAAACTGGTCACTGACTGATCTTACCTACTGTCACAAATGCCACCATGTGCATGGGGACAACTATAGCCTGTCTATAGCTGCCCCACAGACACCTGAACTCACAGGAAGGGAGCTGTATATATGATTCTCTCTCTTTAAAGATACATGTGTACAAAAGCACCTTCTTTTTGGATGTTAGGAGAGGTTTAGATTGGATATTGGAAAAAATTTTTACACTGAAAGGATTGTCAAGCCTTGGACCAGGCTGCCCAGGGCAGTGGTGGAGTCCCCATCCCTGGAGGGATTTAAAAGCCGGGCAGACGTGGTGCTGAGGGACATGGGTTAGTGATGGGTTTGTCAGTGTTGGGTTGATGGTTGGACTCAATGATCTGAAAGGTCCCTTCCAACCTGGACAATTCTATGATTCCATGAATCAAGAACCAGGACAGGCAACTAAAGGTTGGCAGCACAGAGCCAGCCAGCTCTGGCTGGTCCGTCCCGCAGCCGCTTGGTACCTTACAGCAGGTTTTGTTGGGTGAGATTTAGTCATTTGAGGAAGATACTGAAACATCCTGAATACTCATACACTGCAAGATCACTATCATCAAAAAACCATAAAAGTCAGAAGGTTGGGCCAGGTTTAGGAATTACACAGTGTCTCAGAAGGGTGCTTAAGGCATCTAATGTATAAATATATCTTTAAAGAGAATCATATATACAGCTGCATCTAGGACTTCTACCAAAGACGTGTGAAAACACATAAAACCAGAAATTATTTGCCAGAGAAAAAGAAAACCTGCCTTTTTCCCAACAGCCACCTGGCAGCACAACGAGCTCAGGCATCTCCCTCTGTAAGGTCCTTCGCAGGTGGGAGTTGGGGGACAAACCCTCGACAAACCCCTCCCTAAGAAGAGCAGGACATGGGGCAGCTTCCTTCTGATGGCTTAACGGAAATAGAGCTTCTCAATACAAGCCACCTGGCAGCACAACGAGCTCAGGCATCTCCCTCTGTAAGGTCCTTCGCAGGTGGGAGTTGGGGGACAAACCCTCGACAAACCCCTCCCTAAGAAGAGCAGGACATTGGGCATCTTCCTTCTGAGGGCTGACATTTGTGGGCTTAAGGGAAACAGAGCTTCCCAATACTATAGAATCATAGGATGGTTTGGAAGGGACCTTAAAGATCATCAAGTTCCATTCCCCCTGCCCTGGGCAGGGACACCTCCCACCACACCAGGTTGCTCCAAGCCCCCTCCAACCTGCCCTTGAACCCCTCCAGGGATGGGGCAGCCACAGCTTCTCTGGCCAACCTGGGCCAGGCTCTCACCACCCTCACACCAAACAAGTTCTTCCCCACATCTCAGCTCCATCTCCCCTCTTGCAGGGTCAAATCCTTCCCCCTCCTCCTAGGGCTCCCCTCCCTCATCCAGAGTCCCTCCCCAGCTTTTCTGGAGCCCCTTGAGGGACTGGAAGGGGCTCCAAGGGCTCCCTGGAGCCTTCTCTTCTCCAGGCTGAACCCCCCCCAGTTCTCTCAGCCTGTCCTCATATTCATACTATAAAGGAGAGACCAAAGAGGGTGCTTGATAAGATTTGAATTGTGAAAAAGCTTTAGCAAACTGTCATTAAAACCCCTTCCAAAAGACCACAGGGACAGAGGAAAACATAATTTGCTGTAAAAGCAGAGGTGGGCAGTATAGATGACAAAACACAAGCACTGAACTAATGATAAGAGGGAAGAAAAGCAATAAAGGGAGAAAAGGGTGACCAACAGGTAAGAAGTTAAAGAGTAAAAGGTGAAAAGTCTTTAAACAGGCTCTCCGAGTGAGCCAGGAGTAAAAATAAAGATAGATAAGGGGGTAAAGGGGTAGGTGGTGGAGCGGTTCATCACATGGCAGGTGAAGAAGATTAAGGTAACCA